ATACCCCTCCAACTCCCCTACTCATGTCCTTACCACCCTGTTGTCTGTGTCCATTTGTTAGACTTATATACATGCATACAAGTCCTTTGTACCACAGTTTTTTAATCCACTCTTCTGCTGATGAGCACTTAGGCTGTTTCCAAATCTTAGCTATGGTAAATTGTACTGCTATGAACATAACCTTTCTGAGTAGTGTTTCTAGTGTCATGGGATATATTCCTAGAAGTGGGATCACTGGCTCAAATGGGAGTTCCAATTTTAGTTTTTTGAGGAAACTCCATTGTTTAGTTTCTTTAAGAAACTCCAAGTCTGCATTCCCACCAATAGTGGACAGGGTTCCTTTTTCTCCACATCCTCACCAGCACTTGTCATTTGTTGATTTGTTGATGATGCCATTCTGACAGGTGTTAGAGGGTACTGCTTTGTCATTTTGATTTGCATCTCTTGGATGATTAGTGACTTTGAGCATGTTTTCATATCTCTCTTGGCCTTCCGTATGTCCTCTTTTGAAAAGTATCTAGGTACCTTGCCCATTATTTGATGGGGTTGTTTATCTTACTTTTATTAAGCTGTATGAGTTCCCTGTAAATGTTGGAGATTAAACCCTTATTGGTGATAACATTGGCAAATATGTTCTCCCATGCAGTGGGCTTTCTTGTTTTTTGTTTTGTTTTGTTTTGTTTGAGAGTTTCTTTTGCTGTATAGAAGCTTTATATTTTGGTATAGTCCCATTTGTTTATTTTCCCTTCAGTTTCCATTGTCCTAGGAGCTCTATTGGTAAAAATATTGCTTTGGCATATGTCTGATATTTTGCTGCCTGTGGATTCCTCTAGTATTTTCATGGTTTTCCCATCTTATGTTTAACTCATTGATCCATTTTGAGTTTATTTTTGTGTATAGTGTAAGCTGGTGATCTTGTTTTATTTTTTGCACATATCGATATCTGTCCAATTTTCCTAACACCATTTATTAAAGAGACTGTCTTGACTCCATTGTATGTTCATGCCTCCTTTGTCAAATATTAATCGAGAAGATTGGTTTGGATCAATTTCTTGGTTATCTATTCTATTCCATTGATCTATATGTCTGTTCTTGTGTCAGTACCAGGATGTTTTGAGAACAAGAGTTCCTTTTTTTTTTTATAGCAGCATAGTATTCCATTGTGTAGATGTACCACAGTTTTTTATTCCATTCATCTGCTGATTGGCACTTAGGCTGTCCTTAATGTTTTTATTTTTTATTTTTTCTAAATATTTTATTTTATTTTATTATTTTTATTTATCTTTTTAAATATATTTTATTGATTTTTCACATAGAGGAAGAGAGAGGGATAGAGAGTTAGAAACATTGATGAGAGAGAATCATCAATCAGCTGCCTCTTGCACACCAAGGTACATGCCCCCGACCAGAATCGAACCTGGGACCTTTCAGTCTGCAGGCCGACGCTCTATCCACTGAGCCAAACCGATTTCAGCGGCTGTCCTTAATGTTTTTAAAACAAACACCCCTGCATCTTCATTTTGCATTGAAACCATGAAATCATGCAGCACTCTGTTAGTCATCTGCGGTACACAAGAGGAACCACATGCTACAGGCCTTCATGGAAGAAGGGGAGAAGTATTCCCAGCTGAGGGTGGGCAGGGGAGAGGGAAGAAGGTGTCATAGATGAAGATGCATTTTTAATTTTCCCCTGAAGAATGGCAAGATTTAGACAGGTATACATAAGAGTATAGCTTTCTGGTTGGAAGGGATAATTGGTGAAGAATCATGGACTGTATTCAGGGAATGGGAAGAAATTCTTATAAATGAGGAGCTCTGTTCCTGAGCAACTCACAAGGGCTGTTCCAGGGCAGTGCCAAGCTCAGCTGACCTTTTAGGGACAGTCTTCTCAAGGCCTTTCATAGTCCTTTCCTCCAAGTGCAATTCTCCTAGATGCCTATCCAACTAATAAATTAAATTTAGCCATGTTATTCATAGAAACTGCAAAGTGAGACAAGGGCAGGGGCAGGGAGATGCAGCTTTAACAAAGAATCAAATAGAAAATTTCAATTGAAAAGCATGGATATTTAAATAAAAATGAAAATACTTAAAGAGGTCAAATAATAGATCAAATACTGAACAAGAAAACATTCAATCATGAATCCCATAGTCTAATTTGCTCTCTCTCTCTCTCTTTCTCTCTCTTTACCTCATCTTTTATAATGCTAGTTCCATTGGAGGTATTTGCACAGCAAATCATGGTGGAGGCCAATAAATTTTTTACAATTTAAGAATTGTAGAATGCCAATCAGGATCTATATCCAGTCCTCTGCTTACTACCCCACATTGCCATGGCCCCCACTGCACTACACAGTGGTGGGTTTCCCCCAGCAGGAGTGGTCCATAAAACAGTGCAAGCTTTGGCACTTATAAAATTATCTGTAGTCATACCCTATTGACTCAGATGAGCGACAATAAAAGTAAAAGGCCACTTTTCATCATCTCACAATCTCTGTTCTCAACCTTATTTTCCTAACATTTGTGTTTAAGTTTACTTCTATTAACAACATGGATCGTGAACATTTTGTTTATATTGACTTGCATAAACATGAAACTTGCCACTGGATCAGCATGCTCTGGCTTTTCCAGTGTAAATGCCCCATGGCTTCTTCAAGTTGGAGTTCTCTCACCTGAATCAAATGGGACAGTGGCATAGCTAGCAAGTCCTGTGTCATCTCAGAGCCTCAGCAACTTCCTGGGATGGGTTTCTGCATGTCTGCAGGCTAGTGGGACGGATCACCAGGACAGACCTGCAGGAGTGGTGGGGAGCCTTCTGGGGCAGAATCCACCTTCTTTGGATAGAGCCAGGACCCACAGGCCCGCCTGGTACTAAAGCCTCCTCTGTGGTCGAGGAAACCACAAAACAGTGTCTGTCACTCAGATTTTTCTCCTGGCTTGGCTCTGCCTTGAACTTGTGACCTGAGTCCTGTTGTGAGAACTAAAGAGGGTCTGTCAGGAGGGACCTTAGGAAGTTTCTGTTCTGATGCCATTGACAGCCTCTAACACACAAGAGCAAAGAGACCTTCTCCCAAGATCTGCACAGAACTCAGTATGGCCCTGGGTGTGCCATGGTATCAGCGGGTCAGGAGAGGACAGTGTCCAGCAGTCAGGGTGATGCCAGGCCAAGGCTCAGGCAGCAGTTGCCAGGGCCAGGCAGCCATGCCCAGGAAGCCAGTGGTGCCCACAGAAGATAGTGGTGCTCTCATGGTCCCTGTGCCATTTGATTGCTGTTAGAAAACAATGTCAACTTAGTGTAAATAGGTAAACACAGTGTATTTTTGAGAAGTGATCAGAGATATGACATTTAACCAAAAGAAATGTGGGAACATCACATTTAGAAAGAAATAGGAAATGATAACCCAGGAAAGCTTAAAGCATCAGAGGCCATATATAGTCAGGTTAATGTAGAGAAAGGGAATGGCAGCATTATCTCTTTGTAAAAAATCCAAAACTAACAGTTCAAGGTTTATTTACTTTCTGATGTAATGAAATGTAAGTTCAAAGTCAGTTTGTTAATTCTAAATCTCCTGTCCATGAGCTCACAGATAAGCCTATGGAACCAGAGAGACGCTGACCAGAGAGCCTGAGGCAGGAGGGGCACAGGGTGACCTAGAGTGGATACCTGTGGGGTGTAGGCCCCAATTCCCATTAGCACTTGCCTTTGTGATATGAATGATGAATGTTTCCTCGGACTAACATGAAATGCTGCCTGAACGCCACGTTGTGATGCATCAGCTGCTCTCTCCCCACCCTAGGCAGGTTACCCTGAGCCTCACCGCTGAGTAGGAATCTAACCCACCTCTAAGCCACAGGTCCTCCTCTGCTCTGTCACTCTGATGGCATCGCCTAACTCTGACGCCAGTTTTCCTGCTGTAGTGAGGGGAACAGCTGTAACCCCAGGAGGAGAGCTTTCTCTCCCTCCTCTCTCTCTTTATCTCCTTCACACACACCTCTTTCACTTATTGGGGGTGCAGAAGGGTAAAGCAGAAGGGTGACTCTGGATATAGGGTCACAGTCATGGCTATCAGATCTTAGTTTTTTGGAACTATCTCAACTGCTTAATTTTTTCCGCCATCAGTTAAGATAATTTGCTAAATATTTACATTTCCTATGGTTCTACACTTTCCATTCAGATAAATTCATGAACCAGAAAGAAGTTTCTGCTATGCTGCAGCTCTCCTGCTTTAGCTGGTAACGGCCTAGCGCTGTGCCGTGTATAGGAGAGGGACACAATAACAATCCAAAGAAGGTGTGTGAAGGTGGAGGGAGAAGATGATGGAGGTCATGCGCCAGGAGTGGAGGAAAGGGCTTAACACTGGACCCAGCACATCATTAGGAAGGGTCTTCTCATGACCAAGAAACGTCTTCAGCAAACACTGGACCAGCGATGACATCCCCTCCTTCTTAGATCTCCCAGTTGATTGGAAAGTTCCCCATGAGCTCTGTGATGGGAAGGAGTCAGAGCGTAGGGGTCAGTGGGGAACAAGCCAGGGGCTGAGCTCTGGGTATCCTTGGTCCCCCAGGGCCTCCAAACTTCATGAACATAGCGGCTACTTAAGAAATGTGTAATAAATCAATAAAGTATTTTATTTTCCTCTTCTATTTCCTTTTGAAGAAGTCTGCAGTTGTTCCTAATTGTCTTTATACCAAAATGCAGCTTGTAATGTCTTCCACAGCTGAGCTGAGCTCTCCTCTTGCTGTAATCTTGCCCACTTCCTTTCTGCACCAGAGACTGTGGGCTTTTCCGAGAGTGCAGAGTGCCTGCCTGAATCATGAGGGGAGGGGCAGGCATGAGTGGCCAATCCGTAAGTGGGAGTTAAAATGACTCTAGAACTAACTGGAAACAGGGCAGTGACAGTTCCATACATGACTCTTTAAACAACCACAGGCTCTTCCCCTCCATGGTAAACATCGCCCTCTCATGGAAATAAAGAAACATCCTACAAAAATTTTCCTTGGAGGTGCTCAACTTTCCCTCTGGAATGTTTTTGCAATTGGAGGCTGAAAGCTCAGCTGTGATGGGACTCTGACACCAACCAGCTGGCTGTTGCCTGCCCTCAGTAGTCAGATGGCTGGAATTCTGAAATGGAATAATATCACTGACACAGGAACAATCAATGCATTGTGTTATGGAAAATGAAAACCCTTAATGTTTCTTTTTAATCTTTATTGTTGAAAATATTACATAGGTCCTCCCTCCGCCACCTCCATTAACCTCTTCCAGCCCACTCCCGTCCCCCCCATTCCCCCCCAGGTCCTCACCATCCCACTGTCATATATGCATACAGGTTCATTGGTTGATCTCTTCCCACCCACCCTCCCCTGGTGTTTCTTTAAAAAGATGGCTGGCCGATACCAGTTTGGCTCAGCGGTGGAGCATCGGTCTGCGGACTGAAAGGTCCCAGGTTCGATTCTGGCCAGGGGCATGTACATTGGTTGCGGGCACATCCCCGATAGGGAGTGTGCAAGAGGCAGCTGGTCGATGTTTCTCTCTCCTCTCATCAATGTTTCTGGCTCTCTATCTCTCTCCCTTCCTCTCTGTAAGAAAATCAATAAAATACATTTAAAAAAAAAAAAAAAAGATGGCTGGCTGAAGACTCACAAAACAAATAATCACACAACAAACAAAAACAAAGAGAAATAAAAAGAGATTCAAACAAACAAAGGTAGGAGAATTATGCCAACATACAATCAGAAAAAAAAAAATCATTTAAAAGGTATTTTTAAAAGACTTTAAGCCCAGAACCAGGTAAGTAGCCTATATTCTTAGTATGAGTGGATAGTTATTCATTAAAATAAATAAAATACTGAAATGAAAGATAATTCTATAAGTTTACATTTTACTCATATCATCAGTACATGTAATAATTCCCATAATCTTCTATATAAAAGGTGCATATACAACTTTTACCAAAACACAAATTCTCCCTGTTCACCTACATAAATGTCCAGAAGGAAATGCTGCTTCTAACACATGCCAATCTGTGAACCAGCTTGGAAGGAACACCTGGGCTGACTTGCCCCTGCACACACTCGGCCCATAATAGTTGCACCGAAGCCTTTACCCTCTCATTGTTCATGCATACTTCCCATGGACTCCTCTTCCGTGAAACATTCTCAGAATTAGGCCATCGCTCTGCACTTGCCCTTGACAACTATAAATGACATGAGCTGTAGGGGTTTCCATGCAAGAGGCCTCTTCGATGTGGATCTTAGGGTGACCAACTGTCCTGGTTTCTCTACGGGTTTCCAGGATGTGGGGCTTCCACTACTAACACTGGAAACAAACAAGTCCCAAGCCATCAGGGGTGAGTTGGGACCCCCAGTTCTGGGAGTGTTCATACCAAAACGGGGAGATGGACAATTTTTCTAAAAAGGTAAGAGCATGACAGCCCCATTAGGCATCACTTGTAAGCACCTAAATGTGAAAGTGCTGATTCCTGGAACCTAGTAAGGGCTCAGTAAGACTAAGTTATGTTGACATATTTCATTTCCTAACAGAATATTGTATAACTGGATTTCAGCAAGCACCTCAGCATACATATCTGTGTAGGCACAATAAAGTAATATGGCTAGATTAAAAAAAAAAATAGTTCTTTCCATGGAGGTTGATATGACTTTGCCCTGGAGATAGGCTTTTAGTGGCAAAATCCAAGAGTTGGCTTTCAACTCTTTGACCAGCACTTTTATTCATTGTATTGATGAAAATCTTGATGTCTCAGCCAATTGAGAGGGTAGATCAAATCAAGTGGAGAAGCACAGACAAAATATTGGCTGATTGAGTAGGGATCCCAAAACATCTCAATGGTCTGGACCATTGGACTAAAATGAATGATAGGTAATTGAATAGGGACTTCATCCCAGTCCCAGTCCATCTCTCCCATGTTGAGGAGTGACTTCCAGGTGCTTAGCCACATTTAAAAAAAACAAAAACAAGAACAAAAAAGATTCAGGTGAATTTTAATAATGTACCCTACTATAATACTAGTGTCCTGATGCACTAATTAATGTATATTGAAAGGAAATTAACTAGAAGAAATATTTTAATATCACTATTCAAATCTTGCTAATGAAGAAAAAATAGGAATCTACCCAGTCTATCTACCTACTCCAGGACTTCTGTGAGGATCAAATGAGATAAGGCACGGGAAAATACTTCACAAACATTTGGTAAACTGTAAAATGTTTGCACCTGGCTATAAAGCCAGTAGGGTTCCTGGGCTGAAGAAACTGCAAGAAGGCTAGTCACTAGGGAGAGGAAGCCAGACATTGCTACTTGTCATTACCCAGTGCCCATAGCAACTGTTTCTGGCCTGGGCTGTGGGTTGCATTTTGCGCCATGGGGTCTTGGCAGCATTGGCTGTGATTTGATGGGGTATTGCTTCAGGGTGGTGATGGGGCCTGTGTCCCACTTGGGAGAAGCAGTGTTGGTTTGTCAGTGCCAGGTGCATGGTGCCATTTATTTATTTATTTGTTTATTTATTCATTTATAAATATGTTTTTATTGATTTTCCACAGAGAGGAAGGAAGAGAGATAGAGAGCCAGAAGCATCGATGAGAGAGAAACATTGACCAGCTGCCTCCTGCACATCCCTCACCGGGGATGAGCCCGCAACTTTTCAGTCGGCAGACCATGCTCTATCCACTGAGCCAAACTGGTTTTGGCCCATTTTCATTTCTAATAGCAACCAATGCAACTTTTGAAATTGGTTTTAAGTTTCCATATTGTTTCCTTTTCAAAAAACAGTAATTTCTAAGCACCAACACCCAACCAGGATTTAGGAACCTGGCAATCTAACCAATAGTAAGTCCAACTGAGGACTAGGAAGTAAACAAATCAAATGAGTAGCACAAATGCATTAGAAATGCACAGAAGTTCAGGTTAAAATATATCACCCTTTATTATTCCCATTTCCCAGGTGTCACAGAGATTGAGTCTGATTCCAGGCCAACCCTTCTGCTTAATTACTTCTCTCACTGGAATGACATTTTTCCCTTCAGGACTAAAGATACTATTATCTATTCTCTCACCATCATCATCTAAAATCCTGTTTACACAGAATTTATTTTTTCTAAGTAGAAAAAATAGAAGTCATGAAATCACAACAGTGGAGAGAGTACATTCTATGGAGCAGACTGCCTGGGTTCAAATACTGGCACCACTGTTTGAAAACTATTTCCTCAATTGTAAATTGAGGATAACAGTCCCTCTTCCATAGATATGAGCTCATCCATATAAAGCACTTGAACAGAATTGGCCCAGAGTGAGTGCTCAGTATTTTTTTTTTTTTTAACTGAGAAAAGAACAGGTTTTCACAGTCCTTCACTTGAAAACTGTAACACAGAAGCTTCTGGCTTGAAGAGGACTTTCCTATTGACTGTTCCACCCTCCCGAGCCCAGGAGGCCCTGCTGCAACGTTCCTCAACATTCCTGGACAGGTGGGTATCTGTGGTCTATGTAGTAGGGGGCTTGCTGCCTCAGGGACCACCACTTCATTTTTGACAGCAATAACTTCTGGGGATGTAGTTGTACCACAGTGCAACGAGCTTGGTCTTTGGAGTTTGGTTTTATGATCTTTCCATCATCTCCATCAGCACCATGTTACTATGGTTTTCTTTACTACAAGAAAATCTATGGAACTTCGATACAAATCCTTCCACATTACAATGTGCTTCAGAGAAAGCACTCAGGGTGAACTGAAGCTTGGAGTTAATGAGATATTTTTATAACTCATTAAATCATGGCAGCCTGCAGCATTAATAAACAGGAGTGACAAAGCTTCATTAACATCTTATTTATAGCAAGAGTATTATCTCTATGGGGTCTTTCTAGCAAGACTAGTAACACTAGCTTATTATATGACTGACTTGCAAAAATCCTAGGAAAAAAGGAGATTAGCAAGTGCAAGTAATGGTCAAGAGCTCTCCTGGGCAAAAATATGTATGAGAAATGTAGATGATTATTTCTATGAAATACTCAACTAGGGCTACTCAGTACATAATGAATAGTAAATGTACAAAAATTCCACTAACTTACATATGTATTTATCAGAGGCCTGGTGCACAAAATTTGTGCATTGGTAGGGTTCCTAGGCCTGGGTGGCAATCAGATTTGATCAATCAAGTTCGATAGGGGCCTTCCAGCTGCCAGCCGGGTCCTCCCTTCACTCGGCGCTGCCCCCTGGTGGTCAGCACATGTCAGAGAGAGCGATCAAACTGGTCAAACTCCCAAGGGAAGCACTTTACATATTAGGCTTTTATATAAATGTGGTTTCATATCATTTTTAAGGTAAAATTTTCAGTATTTAAGTAAGCCTTTTAATTTTGATCATTTTCTCCACAAGTGAAAACAGAGTTGAATCAATCAAGTCCAAAGAGTGATTGATGTTAGATGTGTACTGCTTTTTACCTTATTCTTAACTTCTCTAAAGTGATTAAATTCCCTTTTTTTCCCCACCCTTTCCACTCATCTTTGTAAAACAGAGACAAAATGCAATGAAAAGACATTGGCTGCCCCACAGCCAAAGGTGGGAGGCTGCTGGAACTACACTGACGGCTCAAAGGCAGCTCCACTCATTGCAACAGAAATCCTTCAATGGCATTGAAACACCTGAGCCAAGGAGTCACAACAGTAGATGCAAAGTAGAGTATGACATGACTGTGTAATGCAAATAAGTGAAGGGGATCAAGTATCATCTGAAGTAGGTACCGAGGGAGAGGATGGTGCAATTTGCAATTCCCCTTAACATTCATTTTCTAGAGCCGGTGGTAATCCTAGTTCTTAACACAAACCAAAGGCTTTTTAATCCTCAGGTCAACTGAGATCCCATTTTTTTTTCACCCTTTCCATTCACTGTTGTAAAAGAGGCAAAATGTAATGAAAAGGCATTGGCTGCCCCACAGCCAAAGGTGAGAGGCTGCTGGAACTACACTGAGATCAATATATGAAAGTGCCTTCTAAATAGAAAAGTATTCATATCAGATTGTATTATTCCCACATTAAGTGAGGAAGTATACCTTCTCAAGGACAATGAGATCTTTGTGTAACCTTGATTCACCTACCCTAATCTCTAACCTATTATTCAGTTTCTTCAAACTCCTAGAAGATGGGTATTAATCACTGTTTGCAGGTTTATGCACCCA